GATTAAGTTTAAAGGAATAGTTCAAATGTAATTTTTTATATCTTAAATATCTTCACATACCTCACATATTCGTTATTATCCGATTGATATATGAAAAATTTCAAATAATGCCACTTTTCAAGTCACTTTACAAAAATGTCACCCTTTTGAAATTTTTACAAAAATGCTATTTTTTCAAAATTATTTTTTCTTTATATTATTAATGTTTGGGTTAATTATGTTCTATTAGGGTTTAGTTTTGAGTGTTTAGGGGGTTCTAGGTGTCAAAACATTTTTTAGGGTTTAGAATTTTAAGATATAAGCTTTATAAATCTATAATTATTGGCATTTTTGTAAATGGACACCCCTAAGTGGTCTTGCAAATGTGTACACAAAAGGTGGCATTTTTATAATTGCCTCTTGATATATTTTCGTGTCACTATGTGTTGGAAAATTGTTGAATTTAACTACATTTAACTGAATTTAGTGTGTTTTTTTTAATCTAGCGGATTTTTTTTAAATAGCAAATGGTGTTAGCGAAATTGCTAAATCTATCTAAATGTAACTGAATTATTTTTTAGTGTTACCATTTAATGCCTAAAACAAACGTGATTCTTAAAACGTGAATTATACATTTTGCCTTGCATTGGAAAAACGGATAATATGAAAAAGTGAAAAGATTAAATTTTTTTTTTTTAATTAAATTTGGTACAAAATCGAAAAGATTACAAAGCCGGAACCAGAGGCTAAGCCGACGGACAAACTTGAAATTCCCAGATACAAAGTCCATACAATGAACATCAAAGGAACCATGAAATTCAATACAAACTATCTAGGCTAGAATTTCACCGCTAAGACTACTAACAATGGGAATAAACACATGTTCAGCCACAAACATTACCCAACGGCAAGAAAATGGTGGATGGACAGAGACCAAACCAGACTACCAGAAAGACAAGCCATAGGGCGCGAGTCCGAGAAGCCAAAAGTCCAAAAGACACCACCGAAGCTGAGCAGAGAATACACTACCGCAAGCAGATACAACATGAGCAAAATAAAAGGGACCACAACAAGGAGAGCAATCAAGAAGAAATTTCTTCCAAGCGACGAAAACAACAGAGAATGAAGGCGCGATAACATCCGAAATAGTCTAAACTGAACATCGAGACCGCTCTTCTCTTCAAAAACCGTAGACAACAAAGCTTGAAGTGAAGACTTTTCATCAAAAAAAGTACCCAAAGATACCGGATATCACGAGCACAAAAGATCAAAAGTTGAAGGACGCTAAGAGGAGGCGCGTTCATGAACGGAGAAGCCGCATCAGAGGACAAACCACGCCTATCATTCCACCAAAGCCCAACTCGAAGACCATTAAACGACATTGCCCATGAACCGGAACAAAGAACCACTTTCTAAACAAACCGAAACACCAACACCAATGCCACAATCCCTGTACTTCACCGGAAGAACTGAAACCCACAAGGAAAATACACAAAGGAGCCGACGACAAGGAGAAATGAACCAAAAGTCCAAACACTTGAGGCAAGCAATTCATATAAACAACACCAACCAAAGAACAAGAAAGGAAAATGTTTCATCACCATACCACGGCAAGGAGGATAAACAGAGACAAGATCGCGAGAAGACTCAGGACCCAATCAAAGCCAACCTCCGAATACAGGCCTCCTACGAAGAACAACTCCGAACAAACATAGTCCATATCTGAGCCGACAAAGGTAGAGAAGGCGAGCTCCAACGAAACGAAGACATCTAATTGAAACCAAACCGTCCTCAACCATCGAAGACCTAAACAAAGCCAAACCACCAAAACCACAAGCCAAGGGCCACGGATCTGAAACCACTCCTATGAAGAATCTTTGATTGAAACCTAGAGTTAGAGAACAAATATATCTAAGAAACAAAGTACTGTAGCAAAAACTCGGCCTTGAATATATCAGGTGACCAACAAAAAAAATGAAAAAGTGATATCGTACCAAATTTAATAAATATATCAGATGACCAAACAAAAAAAATGAAAAAGTGAATAGTTAGGAAATTTATCTTGGATAATTCAAAATTCATGCAGAAGACTAGAAAAAGGGTCATTTGTCAAAAGGTTTTATGAGTTTAATTAAGGGTTAATTAGCTTAATATTGGTTTTGGGGTAGATAATTAGAAAACTAACATATGCATAATGAGATTTAGGTATATAGTAGAGAGAATGAAAAGTTGGACGAAAATTGCCCATGCGAAAATTGATAAAGGCAAGTGGTAAAAACTCAGACAAAATCTTTACCTATGATCTCTAAAAATCCCTAAAAATATTTTAAGAAAAGTAGTAAAAATCCCAAAAAAGGTAAAAATTCTTACACGCCGACATCGTCCATACTTTGGGCTCGGCCCACCTCGTCATGCTTTGGGCTCGGCCCACCTCATCGTGTCTTGGGCCTCACCTCGTCGTGGACTTATCTTGTAGGCTTCATGCTTCTGTGAGCCCACCTCTCCATTATGAACTTGGCCTTACCGCTGCATAGTGTTCCTGGACTTGTTGGGCTTGCCGATCTAGTCTTGCCATTTCAACAACTCCGTCGCGCTGTCTGTCTGGCAGGATTAGTCACCTCATCGTGCAGTCCGTCTTGCTGGATTAGTCACCTCGTCATGCAGTTCGTCTTGCCCGATTAGTTACCTAGTCGTGCCTGGACCTACTAGGTTCACACAGTCTTTTCTAACCCAATTTCTATACTTAGCCATTTTTTGCTTTGATCTTACCAGGATGGAATCTGACCCCTACATATACTTCATGAACTTCCCATTGTTTTGCTCGAGATAGATTTCTCCAAGAGTAAAAAATTCATATTGGAGAACACTTATTTGAAGGGGATTACATGTATATCGATGCAATCGACGATAAAATCCAAGTCGGTAAGGAACACTAAAACTTGCATGATTGGTTGTTTCTTCTTTTATCATATATTGTTGACACACTGTGTAATGAACTCTCACGAAACATTAGTAAATTATTATGGTCGAGGAATAATTGGTTTGGATCAAATAATTTGGAGTGTAGCAGAATTATTGTTGGAACTAGAGGTACAACAGAATAATTGTTTGGTTGAGAATGAATTTGGATGAGTTAGAGTAGAATTATTGACTTAAGAAAAGTGTTAGAAAATCCTTAAAAAGTATTTTGATCTAGAGAGTTAGATGGTCGAAAAAAATAAGTTGTGGGTCAAATGGAATGATTTTGGTCGAGAATATAGAATCCAATATGTCTATAGTTCGTAGATGAATATGGTTATGGTAGAGACAGTGCTAAATAGTGATTGAGTAGGGCGAAGTGGTCGAAAGTATATATGAGAGATAAAATGAGACATGTGGCGTAATATGAAAAATCGGAAAGTGCTAGTGGGACATATTTCAACCGCTAAGCACTTCCCGAAACTAGTGGGATAAATGTCACCACTGTTAACAAGTGGTAGCAGACAAATGACACCTAGCATGCTAACTCAACTTTGATTTGCTTATAAATACTCACACATTCCCCACATGCATAAATGTTAGCCGAAATTTTTTTATAACCGTGAGCTGTTGCTGACCACTGTGAGTTATCGCCGAAAAAATCGAAGGTGAGTTTTTTTACCTTAAATCATTACAATGACTCATTCTTCATTCTAAACGTGTTTCTAACTTTAGTTTCAATAACCTAGTGTTTTACGCTTGAGACAAATCATCTCATCTTACATCGAACAATAATAAAACTTCTATTCATATATATGTATGTATGCATTTTTATACTATTAAGATCGTTTAGCACATATCTCGTCTTAGACCGCACTATCACCATTCGAAATCTTAATGACAACTAAATAAATCGATCCAACAAATTGAATTAATTTGAGTCAATTAATCAAAAACAAATTTAGTTAATTGAAAAAAAGAAAAAATTCGCAAACAAACTTGAGCTAAAAAAAATTGAGAAATATTACTTTTGAGATGCCACTTTTAAAAAAAAAAATATCATCGTTGTAAAATCTTTTCAAAAATGTTATTCATAATATATCATTTATGTTTTGGTTAAATATGTTATGTTAGATTCTAGTTTTTGGAGTTTAGAGTTTGGTAAAACCAAAAAAAAAATTAAATTAAATTTTCTATGGTTTAAAATTTTAAAAAATCTTTAATTTATGGTATTTTTGTAAAATTGTATTTTTGAAATTCCCAAAAAAAAAGAACTAGACAAATGGTAAAATTGTTTGTTTTTGTCTCTCTCCAACTTTTGCTTGTGGAGGGGGACACGGATAGTGGTAGAGCATAAGCAGACCAGTCTCTACACCATACGCTCTACAACCGCAAATATAGAAAGTCTCCGTACGTACAAAGACACGCTCAAATCCCATTTCCATCTTTATAACCAACTCATAAATTTCCAAGATTTTGACCCAAAAAAAAAAAAAAATCCAAGATATGCACTATAAATCCCAATGACTTACTCAC